ATCTCAGCATGTCATATAGTTTGTTTGTCAGTACGGTATGTCAGGTAGTCTGTTTGTATCTATCCATCTGTCCGTCTCTCTGCCCCCCCTCTCTATCTATCTATTCATCTATCAGTCTATTTATCTATCTCTATCTCCTTCTTCCTCATATTTTCACTCTCATTGTCTTCTTATTATCAACATCGTCTTTTTATTATCATTCTTCTCTCTGATCTCCTTTAATCTTTGAGCGTTTTTTATTCTGTATTATTTTTTATATAACACATATATATATTATATATGTTTGACCTATTCTATGCCTTTTAGTCTTTATCATTTCTTGACATATAGGCGACCAAAAATTGTAATGTAAAAAAAATCCTTATAGACGACCCCAAAAACTCCTTTAAAAAACCCTATCTCCCCCACGTACAGAAGTCCCTCATGTACACCTCTGCCTCGTGTGTATGTTCTTCCTTCTTGAAGTCGTTGCGTTCTCCGAGACGATCGTATAATGGACTTCACAGATCATTAGTCACACGACTTCACTAACGGGAAATTACATCGACTTTTTAATGACAAAATGTTGGAATGTAATTACGTTCTCTGCCAGTCTAGTCTAGGGAATTTTTCGGATGAAAAATACTCCAGCCTGTCTCGTCTTCATATGTAACAATTAATGTTCGTATTGTGGAGAACCCGACGTGGTAGCTATGGCGGCTGCGTAAGTGGCGTGGAGGGAGAGGGGATGAATATAGGCTCGTCTGGGAGCGAAATGGAGCAGCCTTATCTACCAGAAGGATCAATGTTATCTATTCTGCATCTATTTAGTATCTATCAGGTGACCGCAATCGGGCTGAGCTTGAGCTTCGAGGATGCCATCGAAAAGTAACGTTCCTTAAACCGATGATCAGTGAACCATCTTGATTGGCGTTGTATCGACCCGTTGGTTGTTGAACCTTTCCGATAACTTCATTATCCACGCTCATCACCCGATATTATTCGCGACTTCAGAGTTACGCACAATTCCTCATGAAAAATGATAGTAATGGAAGTACCCATTTGTCTTTACGAGCGACTTAAAACGATACGTATAATTTGCTATTTCTGAGATCATGACGGCATTACGCTGACGTCTTTAGTAACCCCGATGAAAAAACGGAGTGCAGGAGGGGATAGACAGGTGGAGTAAATTACTTAGACAGCTGGAGTGAAGGGCGCTAGGAGAGTGTGATAAATGTATTAGAGAGCACACAAAATAGGCGTAATAAACAGGAAGTAGTTGTAATCTCGGCCAATTAAGAGCGAATGCAACAATAGCACAGACTGACAGAGAAGCGAAAGACATTAAAGACATTCAGACACATACACTGTAAACGTAATTCTCTCGAACACAATATTCTAAAGAACGCATAACATTTCGCACAATATTACTTAATATGAAGAGGCAAACCTACACAGAACAGAAACTCTACATTCTACTATTATTTAAACCGAACTGGATATGCCATAGTTCATTAATAACGACATTAATCATAGATCATTAATCTTAGCGATGTGTCTATTTGAACCCGAGTGAAAAGCCTGTGGAACAACAAACTACACCGACTGAGGTCCTGGTGGTGACACAGCAGAGGGCGGGGAAGGACGTTTACAAATAAGACCTTGTAATTAGTGCGGTCAGCTATCGCGGTATCTGACCCTGGTAATGAGTACCTGATACTTCCAACAGGCACCTTATCCTGGAGATAGAGAGAGAGTGAGAGGAAGAACGCCTCCCACACACGAAAACACACACACACACACACACACACACACACACACACACACACACACACACACACACACACACACACACACACACATACACACACACACACACACACACACACACGTCTATTTACCTTACTCTCTCCCTTCTCTGTCCCTCTCTTTATCAGTCTATATACATAATTCATCCATCTATCTATCTATCTATATCTATTTATCTATCTATTCATCTATATGTAAATCAATTTATATATCTATCATTCTATATATCCATCTATCTACCTATCTCTCTCTCCACACACGCAGAATTCGTCGGAACATAAGAAGTCGATTCTCATCAGGGCTGGCGGTACAGAGGAAGAGACAACAGGTTCAGATAATTAATGAATAATGACTTGTCTTTCATTAAGGGACCATTACCACGTAAAAGCTTTATTCACAATCACTAGTGGCGTTTGAGGTGACGATTAGAAAGATCTGATAATGAGGTGGGAACGGAAGCGCAGGTCCCTAGGCCTACCCGCAGTGGGCATAGGCCGGATAAAATCTCGCTACCACCACACTTGAGGAAAATACCCAGAGGACTGAGTGTACGGTAATGGCATTTATAAGTTTAGGAACTTATAAGCTTCGGAATTTGATTAAGTTTCGATTTTTTATTATTATTCTTTTTTTTATTATAAATGGTCTCATGATAATTCTTTAATGCACGGAGCCGTAATATATCTCTGCATACTTCGCGTGATATGAATATGATAATGTTAAAGTGAGACCCGAAAATGAGACCGACATTAAAAAGTACTTAGTCACATAAGAAAAATCACAGACATTAAGCCCAAAAGTTCATAAAACCATATCGTTCTCTTTCTCCTTTCATTTCTCTCTTCGAAACGCTTAAAAATAAAACGTAGAAAACGACGAGAATGATTTTATTCTTTTCTCGCAGGAATGATAAAATGGATAATGAAATGGAAGACGCAGAGATATCGGCGGAAGGGTGGAGACATGACCCGCCTTGATGAGAGATAGCAAGAGCTTCCTTCCTGAAGAGACCGAACTTGCGTGGCGCGATCACTTACCGAGCCGCTCGCGAATGCCCGGAACTGCACGGGGGGGGGGGGGGGGGGGTGAATAAATGGGTGGAAAGACAGAGAGATTGGTAGATAGATAGATAGCGAGATAGATGGATAGATAGATAGACAGACAGACATATAAGCAGATGGACAGGTAGATAGACAGATAGAAATATAGCTAGCTAGATAGTTTGACGAATAGATAAATAGACTGACAACCATATAGATAGATTTAGAGACGGACCACATCTATGAATTAATATGTCTATCTATTCATCTATCCATCTACCATTTATCTACCTATACATGCATACACATACACATTTATACTTAAATACACGGAAAGATAAATAAATAGATAGATAGAGCCACAGAGACAGATTCAGAAAGACAAAAATAGAGAGAAACAAGCATACAGCCAAACAAACACACAGACATCGAGAAAGGGGGAATTTAGACATTCAAACACTTAACAGACCCGCCCTTTTGCTCTCCCCAAAAATCTCCCGAAAGCAAGTACCATAAATACTTTTTTTTCCACCAGACAATATCAACAGACACTAACAACGCCATCTTGAACTCATGACACTCCCATCAGCGACGCGCAAGTCAATCCCACGGGGAAAATAGTCGTCACGGGTGCCTAGTCCCGGTGAAAATTAAGCCATCCGTCTCATTAATGATCTTTTGGCGGGATTTTCAACGATTCATTTGCTTTTCCACTCTTTGGAGGCGACGATCACCTGACGGAAGGTAATCAGTTTGACCGCTTTCTAGGAAACAGGAAGTTGGGGAATATTGAGGGGGAAGGGGGGGAAGGGGGGGAGGGGAGGATAAAAAGGAGGAAGAGGAGGAGGGGGATAAGGGAGAAGGGGAGAGGGGATGGAAAAGGAGGAGGGAGGTGGGAGAAAGACGAGGAGGAGGGATAAAAAGGGGAGAAAGAAAAGGAGGAAGAGGAGGAGAATGAATGATGATGATGATAATGGGGAGGAGGAGGAAGAGGCGGATAAAGATGAGGATGAGGATGATGATAATGTTCCTTCACTTCACTCTCCCCTTTCCTTTCCTTCCCTCCCCTTCCCTTCCTTCCCTTCCTCTTCCCCTTCTCCCTCCTTCCCTCCCCTTCCCCGTCCCCTCCATCCCCTTCTTCTCCTCCTCCTTCCTTCCTCTTCCCCTCCTTCCCTCCCCTCCTTCCTTCCTTCCTCTCTCCCTCCGACCCTCCCCTCCCCCTCCTTCCTTCCTCTCTCCCTCCGTCCCTCCCCTTCCCCTCCTCCCCCCCCCTCCGCCCCTCCCCAACGCCGGCGACGCCCTCCGCGAGTGCTCACGGGGGCATATCTTAAGCTTATTATTATCTGCTTGAGGGCGGACTTGCATGTTAATATCGTAATGAGATGTTAACGGGACCAGCGCGTCAGGGTGGGCGTCGGCTCTGTCACGGCACTGCGGGCGGGCGGGCGGGTTGGCGGGCGGGCGTATGGGCGGATAGTACGGATACTGCTTTGCCACGCACGTCAACAGATCGTGGGTGGTTTATGTAAAGTGTTCAGGTAATTTGGAAAATCTGGTCAAGTTCTCAAGCTTTTCCACTGAAGGGAAATAATGCTGCTATAAGGTAAATCAAAAGGAAAATCATGTTGGCTCAATCAAAGTAGAAAATCAAGGTTCCAGTATATATATATCTATGTATATATATATATATATATATATATATATATATATATATATATATAATAATTATATATATATATATAATATATATATATATACATATATATAATATATATATATATATATATATATATATATATATATATATATATATATACATATATCTTTAATATGTACGTGTGTGTGTGTGTGTGTGTATGTGTTTGCGTGTGTGTGTGTGTGTGTGTGTGTACATCCATATATATACATATACATATATATATATATATATATATATATATATATATATATATATATATGTATATATATATATATATATATATATATATATATATATATATATTTGTGTGTGTGCGCGTGTTAATCCTTTGCACGAGTCCTATCCTGCCGAGGGTCGCACCTATGTTTTTAGACTTTAAGATAAAGAGGGAATGCATTCACGAGACCTTCCCCTTCTGCAGCGACCTGTCCTGCGCGTGACGCCAGCCTCATGTCCTGTCGTTCCCCCAGGGTCCCCGAGCTCCTCTCCAGACGACGGCGACGACGAGGGGGGTTCCGGGCCCCCGCCGCTCAAGAAGCAGCGCAAAGCCCGCACCGCCTTCACAGACAACCAGCTGCAGACGCTGGAGAAGAGCTTCGAGCGGCAGAAGTACCTGAGCGTGCAGGACCGCATGGAGCTGGCGGCCAAGCTCAACCTCACCGACACGCAGGTCAAGACGTGGTACCAGAACAGAAG